AACTCATACCAACACTATATGTTTAAGCAGGAATCAATGAAGGCATATGTGCCTTATGTTAGCACTGATAAAGATTATTAACTGCTTTCATAAATACTATGCAAAATGTGTAAAGAGGCAGGAAAAATATGGAAAAGATGTGTCTGCTTGGCTCTGTGTGGGAAGCGCCTGTGCAGCTCAGTCTTTTTGCAAAGCACTGAAACTGCTTCTCTTGTGGATTAACTGAGCATTACCACAGCAGATTTTCTATTTTTATTTCTTTGTGGCTTATTCTTCAAATCACTCAGCTATATCCATATGATTTTAAGTGTTAGATGATTCCAAAGAAAGCCTATTTCAGAAAGACAAGACTTGTTTCACCACTGGATTCCAAAGTGTGTATGTATATATATAGTTAAAATCCTCACTTGCAGAAATAATACCAATAATTAATTGGCATAATTCAGTAATTTTTTGGAAGGATTAGTTTTTGATCTAGTAAGCTATTATATGTGCTAGATGTTTCTGTCATTACCCTGGCCCTCAGATGTAACAATATGTTGTGAAATTTAAAAAAAAAAAAATCAAGTTAGGCAATAAGGCATGAATTTAAGATGTTGAAATCAATGTAATCCTACATAAGGAGTACTATTCTGTTGGTAGAACAGGGCTTCAGTGTAGCTTATGTTGCTATAGAAGCCTTTTAAACTAAGCTCAAAAGCCCCTGTCAGTCCAGAGCAGTCACTGGTACATGAGATATAACAACGGGTGCAACTACTGGGATTTAACCATAGCAATAGTGCAGATAAAGTCTTGGGTGACACAACCATGCACTTTCCACTGAAAGCCAGTGAGTGCTCTTCAGATTTCTATGTTTTGTTTTGTTTTATCTCTTTCAGACTAGAGAACCACCCTAGCATGTCACTGAATGTTTTTTTGCTTTGTAACATGTAAGGACATAATGAAAAATATGCACTACACTTTGCAATGACACCATCTGTCTGTAAGAATAGGTTAATGAAACCACAGCATTGACAAACTGTGTGTGGATGTCATGTCCACTGCTAAAATTTTTTATGGTACAATAATAAATTATAATGATTTCTAATTTCAATGCTACGGTGATTTTCTGTCACAGTACACTCAGGTTCAACTTTTAATTAAAAAAAAAGCTATAATAGCCATGTATATAATAGGTGTTCTACAAAATACTTCTTCTTGTATTTGCTTGCTAGATATTGTCAACTAAAGCAAAGACAGGACAGAAAAGAAATGGAGAAAAAAAGTGCCTTACCCTCATGAAATGAAGAAGAGTTACCCATGGCAAAGAGTTGTAAATAGGAAAAGTTGGATGAAAGATGTGTGGAAAGAAAAGTAAAGGCATCACTGAAAACAGGGAAAAAAAAAAGAAGTGAGGAGGAATGGGGAATGGTTCCTCTTAATATATTCTGAAGGCTAGTTTTTCAATGTTTTTTGTAAGGATTGTGGAAAGAAGCAAAGGCATGAGCAACAGTGGTAACAGCTGCCATTATATCTATAATCAGCAGAGATGTTGCTGAACAGGAATTGCTCTTGTCAGAACAGATTGCAAAATCGTAATCAGTTCTGTATTATCATCAAGAAATTTAAATGTCAAGTCACAACTCTGCAGAACATGCTAGTGAAATCAAGTCATGTGCTAACATCTACATAAAAAAAACTTTTCATATATGCAACTGACAGAATGTTACGTACAGTATCACACATCACCTCAGCATTTGTGACTTTCCTGATTGGTAAAGTTGGGTTAGAACATTTTTAAAGGTGTGGGGTTTTCCATTTAGACAACAGTGATCCACTGCTGTAATATTACTTATAAAAGAAATAGAAAAATGCCATTTCCGAGACATGCAATTTTTAATACACTGATCTAGAACTGGAGACCTAGACAGAAAACAAGTTTTGAACCTGAATTCCCCAATTCACCTCTGCATATTGCTTCTCAATCATTGATGGAATTACTGATTTTGTTGTTGCTGACCACTTGTTTGTTTCTGGGGAGACTGCATATGGAAGGACCCTCTACCTTTTCCTCCCTTACCAAAAAAGTTTTGCTCTCACCATGATAAAAGAAAAAGAACCAACTTAGAAATCCTTAAAAATGGTTTTATGGGATGGCAAAGTGCTCTCCATCCAGCTATTGTATGGTTTGCTTTTATAACCAAAACTCTATGCAGTGCTTTTGTACGTCTCTGCTTTGAACAAAAGAACAAGAGCTTTAGACTAGCTATGGAGCTAAGAAAGTGACAACCATTATCCAGCTTAACATCACCAGTGCACAAAAGGCAGGAGAGTTCTGTAGTATTCATTTTCAGTCCATGATTCACCACCAGTAATAGGCATAAGCATGGAAGAGAGCAAGGCAACTTGAGCTAATTGCTGCTTTTTCCTCTGTCCCCCCAAGAGCTCTAAAAGCCCAGGAATGGCACTGGAGCCAATGGCGGAATAAAGAGGATCCCAGTAACCGGAATGGTTGTACAACTGAGCTGCTGCAAAGGCTATTTAACCTTGATTTTTTTCAAAGGCTACTGCTAAGCTCCACCTTGTCTGTCACAGAGGCCCGCTCTAATTCCTTGTGTAAATTTGGATTGACAAAAAGGCATCAAATGATAGATTTAATCAGATCCATTTTTCACAAGAAGGATGAATCTTAGAGAAGCTGAGCCTGTCCTACCAAAAGTACACAACACTGGGCAACACCAGTAACAATATCATAGTTAAGTATTATATGGACTCACTGCCTGAGGCATCAGTATTTTGGAATACACTGGACAACTCACTCATTTATGATTTTTACTAATAACTCATTTTAGCCACATGATTTCTCCAACCCATTGTTCTCTTTGTAAATAAATCATAAATCTAACACATTTATCATAACTCTTTCCAATTACTCTGCCCCATAAACTGTCCTGAACTCCAAACCTTCTCTCATAGTAAAAGACATTAATCCACTGTGAATTGTTCTGGCTTATTAAGTTCTCGTTTATTGCTCTACCCTCTTTTAAAAGGCTGTTTATTTCTTTAACAATATTTTACATGAACCATCAAAAGCTTTCTGAAAATTTATAACATTTATGATCTTTGTGCTCACTTTCATTCCAAAATCATGATTTATTTCTTTTTTTTCTTTTAATGAGTTGTCTAACAGGCTAGAACAACATGATTTGCCCTTGTAAATGCCATTCTGGTTTGACCCTATCAAGTTATACTTATTTAAGTGTTCACACTATTTCAGCCTTAGGCTCAACAGGTTCCCCTTGTTAGTGGTAAAAGGAGGTCACCAGCCAAACCCTTTGCAACATGTTGCGTCTGTGGTTTGGTTTATGGAGTCTTGTTGGCTCCTACTCTCCATTAAAAAAAACCCAAAACAATCCACACCCCCTAAATTCTGGAGATTAACAAAACCTATTGCAAATCAAATTTCCTACCAAACCTTTTATAAATTGTCAGAAAAATACAGGAGAGGAAAAAAAAAAACAACCCCAAAAACCCAAACCCAAACCAAAAAACCCCCAACACCACAAAATACTGTAAGATTTTATCATGAAAAGGACTCCAAGGAAATGATTTTATGATTCTATGAAATTAGAACACGAATTAAAAAAGTTTACTTCCATCACACCACTATACCCTGTCTGCAGCTATAGCGTTCTCTTTCAAATAAGCAAAGGCTTACATGCTTCAAAGCAAATTTGTAAACATGGGTAACAAACACTAAATAGTAGAATTTGACTGTATTTCCACACCATTCTTTTATAGGAATGTCTACAATGAAAATATGCATGCAATTTATCACAAGCTTCTAGTTTTCCATGTTTACTCAAATGAAAATCTGGGAAAAACATACTACTTGCTTCTCCAGAAGAATGTTACTATCATAAACCATATCAACAGCAGAAGGTCAAAAAGAAAAAGCAGACATACGGATGGTGGAAAGCTTATAAACCTATGTGAAATTAATTCAGCAATTGATTTCACTGCAATTACACTCTGTCTATAACTATAGCTCTGCTTTCAAGCCCAAAGAAAAGTCAGGTTTGGCTGTTGAATGTATACTATTTTACAGAGAGGTTTTATTAATAAAGCAGTCTGGGTAGAAACCAGCCACACTGAAATAACATTTAAGGGTACCAGTGAAAGGTAGCAATGCTTACATGTTCAGGGTACCCTTGCTCTGCCTTTTACAAAAACAGGTCTCATGGCACAGCTGTGACTGCAGGAGGAGAGTGACGGCAGCAGCTGCTGCCGACATATTTCTAAGTAGAGGTAGAAGATGGCTGTCCCAGCTTTTGCTTACAGCCCTGGGGCAAGAGTCAGAGCACCTTGCTTTCCAAGTGTCATTTACTGTGGCACCGACCCCAGCAAACATCTCTCCTGCACTGCCAACTTGAGAAGGAAGGAGGATGAGAGAAGACAGAAAAATAACCTCTTGTTACTCCTGTCCAGGTGATTTCCTGACTAAACTGTTTGTGTTGCAGAAACACAGATTATTATTTTCAAGAGAAATTTAGACTGTTTTAAATTGGTGTTTGCAGTAAAATTTATCCAAATTGGCCTGAACTGGGTCTCTGTTCTTATGTATTAGAAAAGGTAAAGGTTACTAACTGCACCAACCCCACAATCTTTTGTAGCATTAAAAGCAGGGCAGCACTAATATTACAGCTGTTAAACAAGTATGACTTATTGTTGGCCTTCTCATTTTTTTCAGACTTTTAACAGAAATAACAAAAGCCCTCCTATTCAAAATAGCTCACCATTCCATATTTCCTTTTTATTTTTTTTATTTAATAACACAAAACCCTGATAAAACTTTTAAAGCACAAATGATCCTTTAATTTTGCAATTAAAAGATGATATAAATGCACTCACATACATTGCCAAACCCTCAATCTACCCTTCAAATCATAACAAAGTCACTAAAAAGCATAAATTTGCACCATAAACTTCTTAGGTAAACTTTAAAAAGCACTGTAACTTACCGATGTCATTGCTTCTTTCAGAGGAGTCTTTCTCTAGAGTGCCGGATACTGTACTGCCCACTAATTCCACTTTTGGACTATCACTCCTGCATTTGGATCAAGAAGAACAGATATTTTACTGGAGTTTTCATGTTACAGTAAATTAATAGCTAACTTGCAATTACTAATGAGAGAGTGAAATATTCTTTCCTTTGTAGCACCAGAGTAATAGCAATGTGTCAGATAATCTCCAGTAAGTAGACATGCTGTAGATTAACCTTATCTCATTTCTCCTTAACACCTGTCAAAATAGCCTATTTTAGACTGTAGTGTCCTGAATAATTCTTCAGATGTTCACAGCATCTCAGCGTGAAGGAAATCTAAGGGCAAAGGGACATTCTTCAATACATTGTTTAAATTTTTTTCTAATTAATTGCCTTGCATAAACTACAGCAATGGACTATCTCGTGCAGAAAGGGAGAGAATCTCAAGCTAGCACTTTGCATTTCAATGCTTCCGGGTATTAACTCATAAATGCAGCTACTCAACACATTTTTGCATGTTGCTCATGAGATTAGACTATTAATATTTTTCCACAGGTCTAAAGAACCAAGATCATCTACTCTGAAATGTCTTTGGAATGGGCAAGTGTAAAGATTGGTGATACTTTATGCAGAGGAACTATTTTTAAATCAAACAGGAGATCAAACACAGGCAATGTGATTACTGTTTCTTCATAGAACTTTCTATCACACAACTATTTAAGTTTACTAGAATAATGCAACTACTGAAACATTTAATTTAAAATGGGCAAGTGGCAGGTGAGTAGCTTGGCACTGCACAAGCCACACAGACAAATCCCTGTGACATTTACTGTTATAACAACTGTCCAATTAACGCAATCAATTGTACATAATCATTATCAGGTCACCTAACACATATCATAGTTTTTCCACAATGACTATTCCCAGCATAGCAATGTAACAATTATGATGTATGTAAGGTACCTAAATTATAGGTAAAAATATAGATCTGTCCCTGAAACAACCCAGGCAGAGGTACATTTCTATGAAGAGCAATAAGTACCCATCAAAAGTAAAATACATAGTGAGCTCCTGAATCTTGTTGACTTTTTCATTTGTCTTTGCTTTTGATGCCATAAGCTGATGACAGATGGCCTGAACCTCAACTCATGGCAGCCATTTATGAGCAAAGTACAAAGTTGCTGGAAACCCTATTTCAGAATTCAGGAAGTCTGAAAATTTGTATTAAAAAATTAAGTGAACATATATCCTGTCAGACACCGTGGTAGGGCAATATATGTTCTATGAAATAAAAAAGATAAGCAAGCAGTTTATGACCTGAAAAAAAAAAAAGAGTGCTACACAGCTGTCAATATGGCAAGCAGTCTGCACCAGGAAGGAAAGAGTAGAAATATAACACATTCCTAGAAACATTTATTAATTGGTGAGATGATAAGGATATTCTCCAAGTGATCCACCTGACAATTAGTTTTCTTATTTTTTGGCCTTTTTATTTTTAAAAATCACTTATGTGTTTGTAAATCTCTAAGAAGCAACTTAGCTTCTTGGCTGACTGGCAATGAACATTTGACTACTTTGTTCTGCACACATACATTTCCCAGCAAACTGCCCCTCTACTCTGCTCTTGTGAGACCTCACCTGGAGTACCGTGTACAGTTCTGGTGTCCTCAACATAAGAAGGACACGGAACTGTTGGAACAAGTCCAAAGGAAGGCCACAAGGATGATCAGGGGACTGGAGCACCTCCTGTATGAAGACAGGCTGAGGAAGTTGGGGCTGTTCAGCCTGAAGAAGAGAAGGCTGTGTGGAGGCCTCATAGCAGCCTTCCAGTATCTGAAGGGGGGCTACAAGGATGCTGGGGAGGGACTCTTCATTAGGGACTGTACTGATAGGACAAGGGGTAACGGGTTAAAACTTAAACAGGGGAAGTTTAGACTGGATATAAAGAAGAAGTTCTTTACTGTAAGGGTGGTGAGGCACTGGAATAGGTTGCCCAAGGAAGGTGTGAATGCTCCATGCGTGGCGGCGTTCAAGGGCGGGTTGAACAAAGCCTTGGGTGACATGGTTTAGTGTGAGGTGTCCCTGCGCATTGCAGGGGGGTTGGAACTAGATGATCTTAAGGTCCTTACCAACCCTAACTATTCTATGATTCTATTATTCTATGATCAGCTTGAAAGAAACCTCACACTAATAGAAATCCCACTGCAAACTGATTAATTGCCATCTGGAGCAACTCCCTGACCCATATGGCTGAACGGCTGCACAAATGCTGGTGCTAACATAAGGGAGGCTACAGGAACAGGCTGCCAGGAGATGGAACCTGCCACGGTTAGCAGCAGCATGGAGGCAAATTGGTTTAGACTGACTGTAAAAATGTACTTTCTGTACGTCCTTATGGCTTGCCTGCTCCAGAGAGTTGACTCATCCGTAAGTTGTATCATCACAGGTTAAATAAGTTTTGAAGCCTTTGGAGGAAATGGACATCTATTCTCTGTCTCACATGGATTTTGTCTTTCCTTTTGCCCTTGAAGCCCTAACCTGCCTCCAAGGAAGAATGATTACATTTAAACGGAATAGCAGTCGTCACCACAAAAAAATCAGTGAGAGATATGAGATGCAAGCCACTTACCCAGAACAGAAAAATAAAAACTCTCTTCTGCTCAGCAGCTGCCATGGAAATCTCACAGAACTCACTTTATAACTACAGCAATTTTTCCCCCTAGGATCATGTACTGGTTTTGGCTGAGATAGAGTTAATTTTCTTTCTAGCAGCCTGCACAATGCTGTTTTGGATTTGAGATGAAGTAAGTGTTGATAACATGGGGAGGTGTTTTTTTTTATTGCTGAGCTTGGCTTACACAGTGTCAAGGCATTCTCTGTTTCTCACACTGCCCTGCCAGTGAGAAGGTGGGGGGGGCACAAGAAGCTGGAGGTGACACAGCCAGGACAGCTGACCCCAGCTGACTGAAGGGATATCCCATACTGTATGACACTGTGCTCAGCAATAAAAGGTGGGGGAAGAAGGAGGATGAGAAGGACATTCAAAGTTATGGTATTTGTCTTCCCAAGTCACCGTTACTATGATGGAGCCCTGCTTTCCTGGGGATGGCTGAACACTTGCCTGCCGATGGGACACGCTGAAAGAAGTCTATTTTGCTTTGCTTGCATGCACAGCTTTTGCTTTACTTGTTTAACTGTCTTTATCTCAACCCATGATTTTTCTCATTTCTGCCCTTCTGATTCTCACCCCTATCCCACTGTCAGGGAATGAGTGAGCAGCTGTGTGGAGCTAAGCTGCCAGCTGGGGTTAAAACACGACAGGTGAGCAAAAATTCTGCTGTTTCAATTTTTATTGTAATTGCCTTAGGTTTTTCATAGTCTGGAAATGCATACCAGCAGGTCTTAAAAATCTTCACTATCTTATAAAACTGAACTGTTTTAAAAGTAAAATGCACTTACTGAAGTGACTGCTTCCATGTGAAGTTTCACATTTCTTAATAATTCAAGTAATTTGAAGTCTATTCCATGGATTATTTAATTATGTGCATTTCCTGCTCTCTTCCTACAAGACACCCTTACAAGTTAGAGCTTACCAGGCAAAAGAGTTATATGAGGTAAATCCATTAATTTGAATTAGCTGCTGAAGAAATTCATTAGGAAACTACTAGCACTGAGATCATCAGCATGCATCACCACCACCCTAAAAATCACCTTCCCTTCTAAATTTTGATTTAACGAGCTGTCTGGCTAGGTTTAAACCACGACACTACTGTTACAAATAAAATCCTTTTCAAATAAAACAGTATTAGATAAAAAGCAAAAAACATTTTTTTTTTCCTGTGCTAGACACAGAGGAGTTTGGACAATTAAAGAACACAACAGGGTTACTGTTTAGATCTGCTTTTTCACTTTGTTAACTTCGAACTTAGAAAAAAGAAAATGAGAAGGGCAATAAAACACCCCTCCATAGCTCTAAATGTTTAAAATATTTACAATGTGTTTAAAATATTCCAGGCAAAGGACAGGACAAAAGAATAGCTACCCCGTTGTATGCCCAGCCTCTTGTGCGCCCAGCCAGTGAACTGAACGCTAGGATACGTACTGGTCTTGCCAAGAAGACATTACTTAGCTACATCTAAAGATCATAGCAAATACTTGCTTTTCCAGGCATGCCCAAGTGACCAGCAGGTGTGGACTATATTTTGGAATAACTAGGCAAGCATGTTCAAAGCCAAAAAGTCCAAAAGAAACTGTGACAGTAGCACCTAGGAAGGAAGGGTGAGAAGTTCTCTCAGAGAAGTCAACACACTTTGCCGCCACAGTCAAAGCACTTCAGTAAGATGAAACTGGCAGCATCAGGCAGTCCCCATTTTTTCATTTTATATGTCTCAGATTCCACTCTCAGAGCATTTGTTTGATGTATTATATGTGGAGGAATGACGGGAACCAATGACTAGGATTTTATTCCACTCTACCCAAATACTCCATATTGATATTTAATTCACTATCAGTATACTTGAACTCCAGTAGTTCAATGGTAGTTATTTTTTCTAATAGTATTGTGCCTGTATTCTAGTAGTTCCGCAAGATGTGAAGCTTTCCCATTTTAGGCAACTGCTTTTTTCTGCTTTTCACCTATTTCTATTTACTATGCATAAAGGAAGTCTAGAGTGCAAAACCCAGATGCTAATGACTAATGCAGCCATCTAGACTTCACTAGGACTACAGGCAAGGCCTTTAATTTCTGCAACCTCTGCTTTTCCAATCTCTACAAAAATTAAATGGAATTATGTTGGCAAGACCAACTTCCCAGTGCTCCTCAAAGGCTGTAACCACCTTTGATAAAGAGCATCATGTAACTATAGAATAACAACCAACATTAGAACATACATATTTGACAGCAGCATTCTGCAGTGGCACCAGCTTAAAGAACATTGTATGAAGACACATGTATTTGTCTCAAAATTGATCTAAAATGATGAAAGAAAAAAGACTGAAACCAAACTGACAGTATTTGAAATATGCACTGTCTGATGCTGTTCCTCAGTACAATCCAAGCTTTTGCACTGACTTAGTGCCAATACTAAGCTGAAATAATTTGAGGTAAACTAAGAAATTCAACACCAGTTTAACTTACTGATGCAGGTATTTCCCACATATTCTGCAGTGGAAACGATGATGTTACAGTGTTTTCTTCAGTAGAAATGAATCAGCAATGAACAATCTAAGACTATTATTTTTGAGAAGATAATTATGAATCAGCCAGGTGACTAGATGGCTTTTCTTTTCTTTTTCTTTGTTCTTTAAATACAGTTTACCATAAAATAAATTGTGGCATTAACTGTAAAAGCTAAATTCTTTAACTGTATGTAAATTCTATGCTTCTATGTTTTTTTCACTAAACCCAAAATCAGTGGACAGAGGAAGAATAGTACCTTGTATGAGTCACAGGCACAGCTGGTCTTTCTGGTCGTCTTGGGGGCAAGGTACCAGGTCTATTCACAGAGTTTGCTTTGGGTGGCCGAGGTTTCTTCGGAGGTATAGCAGGAACTGAAGGCTTCTGCAAATCTAACTGCTTTTGCTCTCTCTCTGATCTTTCTTTAAATCAATTATTTCCAGGAATAAAGAACACAGATATTATTAAGTGGAATGCATTAGCACTTGTAAGTCTGCAATTAAACAAGAAATCTTCAACTGTACATACACTGTATACAAACAAAAACCTTATCTCCTTTCCACATCTGTCCTAAATAATACTTTATTTCTTTATTTGACATAAGATGTTTACCACATATCAGATATTTGCCCTGCCTGACTGTTCTTGTCTGTAATTCCTCTTGGCCAAAATGTGTGTGCAGTGTCTGAATAGGAATGCTGATTTCTGAGTGTAAAAAAAAAGAATGGCAACAAATTACGTACCATATGGAACAATATCCCATGAGCACAACTTACATCAAATTCTAATATAAAACAATATTAAGTTAGAAGGTCACAAAAATAATTATGCTGGATATCCTTAACATCTCTTGAGCAAACAGAGAAATACCGTTATTGGGAGGAAAATAAAAGTGTGTTTCAAGTGAACCACAGTTAAATGAAAATACAAGTATTAAAATTTAGCAATGTTTGGCAGGATGTAAACCCCTCAGGAAAATCAGACCTTTTATTTAGACTTTTAAGCACAGACTTACACGCTGAAGTTTTCAGCTTACCAGTGAAAAAACAGATCATTTGCAGAACTGATTATGCATAGTTGGGAAGTGCCGCAATACTAATACCCAATGCCAAACACACAATGCCTGTGAGCATGCGATGTACAATATATATGAATAACTCTTGTAAATAATATGCTCTAAATTCATAATACAAAAGAAACATGTAAACACATTTGCCACACCATAGGAAACCTGATTCTTCTTAAAGAAAGGACAAAACTCCCAAGGGGGACCAAAGGGACCGAAGTTTTGTTCTCTGTATCCTACTATGTCAACACCCACTTCCCTTGATAACACTGTCTACAATATGTTGTGAATATTACATCTCTGTATATGTGTAAGAGGTCTTGGCAGTGTTCCTCCCACGGGATTTTTATAAGGGTATTCCTTAATGGGTTCTAGGTTTCAGTCTGTGAGGATCACGGAATAAATCACCAGAAACACAGTCCACAGGAGATTTGGAATACTCCAGTAAGTGACTGTTCACAAGGATACACCCTCTTTCAGTACACTTTCAGTTGATGCAATTTGTTGGGTCCTCTGTAACACTGAAGCTTTTCCAGTGTATTGTGTAACTTTTACACAGTTACTCCTATAGCGATTTATACTGCACCAGTGTCCAAGAATCATAGAATCATAGAATAGTTAGGGTTGGAAAGGACCTTAAGATCATCTAGTTCCAACCCCCCTGCCATGGGCAGGGACACCTCACACTAAACCATGTCACCCAAGGCCTCCCGAACTATGTGTGAGGGATGGCCTAGGCAGTGTACCAACACACAGCATAAAGAACATTCCTGAGCCACCCTTGCTGCCACACCTCACTGAACAATACCTGCCACTTCCTGGTACTCCAGAAATGTACACATGACTCCTACAACCTCTTTTCAACATTCAGAAAAGCTACCTGTATTTATACCCTTGGACAGTATCATGTTTATACTTCCTCCACCATTTTGACAGCTTTTTTTTTAAATCCAAAATGGAAAGCAAAGGGTTTTATTGCTAAGATAATCACAAGAAGTAGCACACATAACCAGAAATAAACATATGTAGATGAAACTGCTACAACACCTGTCAGATCACTGAGACATATATCCAGAAACAGATCTTCGGGCAAAGTCTGAATGTTCTGGCACTGAACTGTAACCGCATCTAATGCATTCAGACATGTGCATACCTGTGCCTTTTACAAGACTGCAAGGTTGAATACTTAAAAGTTAAGAAATCCCATAAACAAACTTGTCTATATAATGTAAGAATCTGCTTAAACGAATGAAACTTGACACCATTAGAGAATCAGTGTAACTATTATCCCCAAACTATTCAGAATGCACAATGAATACCATGAAACCATTAAAGGTTTAATTTGCTTGTCAGTGCTCTGTGTGGTACAGTGTCCCATTCCTCGCAATGTTTAAACCTGGCTTTGAAGACAGAATTTTTTCATTTCTTCACAGACTTGCCTATGACTTCTGTGACTATGCTAATGGCATGATTCATAAGTATTGATGACTAGATCTTCACAAAACCCCTCTGTGATGCAGGAAAACCACTAACCCAGCTTTCAACTAGAGAACCAAAGCATATAGATGTTAAGAAAAAAATAGACACTAATCTGGGGTATTTTACTTGATGAAGGGCCTGTGTTTTACTGAGCACAGAGTTTTAGACAGCATTTTATGCATTGAGAGCGTATTTCCCCTTGACTTCAGGCGAGGCTGCAAGCGCTTACCAGCTCTGGATTGGTACAACTGAATACCCTGAATTCAGTTCTAAGGCAACAATGAGATCCTTTCTAAAATGTGCAACATCAAAGATCTATCAGAGTGGGAAATAAACATCAAACAGTGCACTTAATGAAAACAGAAACTGAGAAATGAGGATGTGCATCAGTTCCATTTCCCTGTCTCTCTGCAGAGAGCAGGCAGGAAAGCACATTTCATACCTCTTTCTTCTGTTCGATTAGGAAGACATTCTGGCCTTTCAGGAGGCACCTTTTTGATTTCATGCTTTCGATCTGTAGTACCTGTCAAAGAAAGGAAAATTTGGAATTCTGAAGAAGTCAACAAACCAGCACATACGATTTAATTCTGCAATTTCTTAGGCTTTTTGCATGCTCTGATTTGAAAATGTCTCGCTAAAACTGAACATAAACCTAGATTCAAGTATTTGCTTACATCAATATGACAAAAAAAGCAACTACATATTTATGTTCTCCCAGATCAGGTTCACAGTTTCCAAAATGTGTATCTCAAAGGAACAGGTACTTTCTGACCATCCCGTAAAAATAAAAATAATAAAAATTAAAAATAATTCAATAACTACAGATTTTTAGAGTGTGAAAAGATTCTTTACCATTGTAGACATACTTAATTGAACAATTCAACAGTGTGGAGAATAATTAGGATCAATTAATTAGAATAAATTAATTGGGCATTTCTGCCAAAAGAATACTTAATACAGACAAACACAGGGCTTATTTTACATTGAGTACCCTTCTCTTTTTCAACTCTAGTACTAGCTGTTCACTTCAACATGCTAGAAGGATGAGAACAGTAGTACTGACAGTATTCTGCACGACTGTTTTAATCGACAGTTTATAGCCTGGAGGTGTAAGCCTCTGTTGCCTTCTGCCTCTGTAGTGAAGACCCTGACATACTGACTTCTGTTGCTGGTAGGAATACGGGAACTTGTGGCACCAACAATGGGAAGATTTCGCAAAAATTTCCTGGCACAGGAAAGATGCAATCTTCCAGTCCTTGTATTACAAGAAATGCTTTACTGGATATTGGCTTCACTGCACTGGCTAAATACTAGGTGCTAATACCATTTCAACTTAGTAGTGTTGAAAACTGCTTTAGCTAGGACTATCAGTATTCCAGTAAAAATTACAGTAGATGATATCCAAGAAAAGTGAGGAGGCAGGGCAGGGAACACATGCAATTTTTTTCTTCAATCTATTCTATTATATGCACTTCTAAAATACATTTACATTTTTTGAATGTTCTGTCACAACTCTCTTCTGAACCTGGTTCCCAGAAATCACTACTCATCGTTGGCCCTTGTTTCTTTACATAACTGTGCTTTTGGACAGGCAGCATTTGCATCACTTATCATGGCAATAAATAATACCAAATTCCCATTTTATGGTTGGATTGTATGATCTTAAGGGTCTTTTCAACTAAAATGGTTCTATTAAAATACTTCACTCCTGAAGTGTTGCTAGAAACAAATTAAAGACTTTCTAAACACAAGTTATGCAAAGCACAAGTCAACATATTGATAGTCTTGCACATACTAGCATGTTCAAGAAAAAGAGACACAAGTCCGTATACCTAATTACAGTAAGATTAATAGTCATCATTAACACACAGAGGGATATTTTTAGGACATTTCTAAACCAGTGAGCCTACAAATACTGGCGAGCTCCCAGGCACAAGTCTACTCCCTGCCTGTGTTGTCACCCCCAAATTAATAAGAACTTAGGCAGGCACCATGATCCTGCCTTAGCTGCCATAAGAAAGTCACCTGCGAGGAAGCTCTGGTGAACACTGTACAAGCTCCCAGAGGGACTTGGAAGAATATTCTTACCCTCCAGACTAGATGCGGGTGTATTGCTTATCCCAGGTACTCGGTGAAATGCCTAATGCTTTCCAAAGGGACTTGTGCACCTAACTTTGGCTCTCCAGTTTTCACATTACTTTGTATAGTAGCCCAGCACAGATGGCCCTGGAAGTCTACTGCTATGCAGATCTGGAAATACAGCGAAACTTTCAGCTATATTATAATACAAACTAGACACCTCCTTCACATATGTGCTGCTTATACTACAAAGACCAGCTCTAATTCCCTGCTCTGATTTTATGCTCTGCATCAGAAGATACTGATATTTAATTATTTAGGCTTCAACTGACAGTTATCAATTTATTCATCACTATGACTGATTAAATATACAGAAACATCACTGGATGTTGTTACCTGTCATTAACAGTAAGGCTTGATGTGGGGATGTGGTAAAATATAGTATTATCTCAGTAAAGTGATAATTTGACAAGGTAGATGATGCCAGGATAGTAATAATAGTCCATAATAAACACATAGTTTTCACCTTTACATATCTATCAGAAAAAACTCCTGTGCATAACAAGGATACCCTTGTAAAAAAACAGAGTTTAAACTTAAACAGGGCAAGTTCAGGTTAGATATAAGGAAGATGTTCTTTACTGTGAGGGTGGTGAGGCACTGGAACAGGTTGCGAAAGAAGTGGTGAACGCTCCATTCCTGGCAGCGTTCAAGGCCAGGTAGGACAGAGCCTTGGGTGACATGGTCTAGGCGTGACACATTCCTGTCCATGGCAGGCGGGTTAGAACTGCATATCTTAAGGTCCTTTCCAACCCTAATCATTCTGTGATTCTACAATAACCAGCCAAGACTTGTCAAAGACTGAGTATGAAAACAAAGAACAGCAATAGCCTTGGCTTTGCCACAGACTTATATGGCCTTGACTGAATTGTCTGCATCCTTTATGCATCCATTTTTCTTTCTGAAAACAGGCATATTATCTTCCTATGGTGACACAACTAATGCATTGCATGCTAACAGGTACAAAAATATTAAAAGTAGTATTCTCTAATTATAGGCATATAAATTGAAAGAAATACAATGTTTTATAGAGCTTTTCTAAAGTTGTCACTAAGACATATTTAATAAGCAGGCGCCACTAGATGGCAAGGTTATACTGCTCTCTCTGGACACTGTTACTGATCTTAAAATCAAATTCATGTTTCTATGAGTCTAAAGACAGAGTGAAGAATAAACCATGGGTGTCAATAAGTAAACTAAATATTTAAAGTCATGATTCTGTAGTTGGAGACTGCTTGACAAATTAAAACTATCTAAATTATAGCCTATTGATTCACAGTAGATTGTACACGGGTGTAACTTTTTCTTCTATTAATAGATCAAGACTGCGGGAGAGGGAAATTTACGTTTTAAAGCACTGAAACCTGGAACAGACCATAGTGACAAGTAAAATTATCTGGATAGATTGAATGTGTTCATTTCGCTTTTCTAATGTGTGCCAACACTGGGGGAAGTGGTAGTGCTGTTGCAGAATTTTAACAAATGGATCGGAGTTAAGGGATTAAAGAATTCCAGCCATACTTATGTTTCCACCAAACTGCATTACAAATGAAAACTGACAGCATCCCCTGCCTTTTGCTGAACAGAACTGGAATTTGGTTTCTGAGGTCAGAACTGCCAAGCATGTAGGTATTTTAACTGTTTCTGAGTTTCATGGAAAAAGGAAATCACGCAGGCACTTTTGAAAATTTGTATTGAGAGGTCATTTTAAAACTACCAATACAAGTGGTTTCAGCTCTCAGTATTCATACACAATTTAGTCTAACATATTCCAAAGCCAGCTTCGCTAGTACTCATCTGTTTGCAAAATCATCAGCCCCTTAATACATTTGCAAAACCATTATCTACATGAACAGGTTCAGGATAACTCCTTTAAGTTTTATTCTTACAGCTATGAAAATTGAAAATTAAGAATCTACATATGGCACAGAACCTGGAGACAGACAGAAAGGTCCAGCATTCATGCAGATCTGCAGCTCATTTACTGCAACTCAGATGAGGACACTGTATTACAGCCAAGTTCTCTGGAACTATCTTATGGACATGCTAAAAAGCTCTTTATCTCTAGAATGAACCAGATCTGGAGATGTAAAGGGAATGCAGTTTCCTCTTGCAGGTATGCTCAGACTCCAGCATACTGGGTGTATACTGCAAAGACATGCATACAATCAATTTCAGTCAAGGAACAGAACTGGAGAACTTGTAAAAACTGAAGTATCAATGCTTGCTCTGACTTAACATGTTCAAGGGGTAAAATATGGCATTTAAAAGAGGTGAAGATGGTTGCCTGCAATATACTTAAAAAGTGCACCAGCCTTTCAGGGTTATCACATTTTTGCAACTTGATTCTTAGTTATTAGTTGTTTTCTAGGCACCTCCTGCTTATCAATTTTGATACAGATAAATTCTATATAAATTTGAGTACTCTTTATTTAGATTGACATGTGCTCACTGACATATGCTGTACAGCATCAGCTGCACCTTACCTGATCCTTGTTTGATGATAGGAGCTGCTGGAGGTGGTGGCTTCTTCGGTCTCTAAAATTTAATAACAGAAGAAAACAGACTGTTTTAAAATGCCTGTAAACCTCATTCATACAAAGGTTTCCATTAATAGCAATAATACATTGCTTACCATTAATAACTACAAATCTTGACACTACAGATCTGTCAAAAATTTCCCTGGAATAACTTCATTAAAACAAATTTGAAGAGAGAAAATATCATTGACAAATGAAATTTCATTTTTTTACCTTTGCAACTGAAATGTTCTGCTGAGAGGGGTAAAAAATGAAAAAAAAAAAAAGTCCAGTTCATGTGCCTTAAGGTGAGAGAAGTACATGATCCTTGATTTACCTAAGAAACCTAGTCATTTAAATTTTAGTCTTGTAAATATTCCAACCCATTTTGGAAAAGAACCCCACCAAACACAAGAAAAACAGATAGGCATGGCAAAATCTGAAGCCTGTTTTTTCAGATGCATAAATGGAGCAAAAGTGCAGAACACAGGAAATACTGCAAAGGTTGCATTTTATTCATTCACTATGAGAAATCTACAGCTCCAGTTGTGAAAGACAGTTATCAGAGTTTTAGATGTCTGTTGAAATGAAATAAATTATTCCAACTAGTCTGTACTTTTTACTTTTATCTTCTTTATTATGACAATTTTCCTAATAGATCTGTAACGGTGTGGCTGAGAAACATGACAACCAAATTAGCACTGGAACCATTCCTCTTCATGTCTAGGCTAGGGAAAGAGTGGCTTTTCTTCTGTGTTGATGTGTGTGTATGCATACACACCATACTGGCATTTACCATACACATCTTGGAATGAATTCAAAATCAAATTACATACCTTAACTCTCACTGTTAAAAAGCCATGAAGTATCATAATTAAAGAGAATAATGGTAAAAATTTATAATTGTTTTCTTCATATGTCAATCATTTTTTTCTATAGAAGGACGTTATTTCTTTTGCTACAGATAGATCACAATTGCTGTTATCACAGCAATCAACCTTGCTGGGTATGCAGTATTGTATATAGACTTGTGAACCTACCTGTAAGATGATTTTCTACATACACATGGCTTTGACCATTTAGGTTCATATTTTCTATCAAACCCATGTTGATATCAAATCCCTCCCTATTATTTTCTATACATCTGCCAAAAGGATCGCATACTTTCAAGATCAGCTGTTTTGCTCGCTTGCAATAATTAGTTCAGCCTATGCTCTAGGACTTCAAAGTTTTGGTCTGAAGACTAACAAGGAGTGAGGTTGCTGTGAAGGCTGAGCCCTTGCTGCTCACCCTTCCCAGCGATCTCTTTCAAATCTGGCAAATGTATTTAAAAATACATGGTGAAAAAAAATAAACTGCAGATGAACAAGTGAGAGATTCACTTACAAATTCCACTCCTGATTAAAAGTAAAACATTAATGTACCTTGTACACAAAGGAGAAAGCATCCTATGGTTCATTAGACAAAGCGGCTTTAACTGGAAGCTGACTGGGGAAATACATTGTTTCAAAAAGGCAGACAAAGATCAGAATGGAGGTAGCATGAAAAAGCCTTAATACCGCTGAGGGAAACATGGAGAAGCAAGGAAGAATTACAAGGGTCTGTGGCTGGATGAGATAACTGAGAAGGTGACAGAGACAGACTAGAAATGAAGCCAACAGAAAGGAAACCAGGACTTGTTGGACAAAAAGAGAGCGAAACTACGGAGAAGAGACAAAGAGTGAAAGGGGAGAGGAAAAGAAGCTGGATAAAGAAATTTGGTGTAGGGATAGAAAGTAAATCCAGATGGTGATTCAGACTCAGGTAGTGAGCTCAGGGGGAAATTCTGTAATTGAGACCACCTAAGAGGTGGAGACTGGGACTAAGCAATGAATAGAAAAGGACTCGGACAAATACCCATGTGTGGAAAAAAAATCAGGATTGGAAAACTGGGGACTGAATAATGAGATGGGAAAAAATATCAAGCTTTTGTTCAACAAACAGAAGAGCTACTGCAACAAATACTTTCATGCCATCGGATGAAATCCAAGGTTTCTCACATCAGAAAATACCTGACAAAGCCACTGAAAAAGTACCCATTTCTTTCCCTTTTAGCACTGATTCAAGCAGATAATCTATAGTCCTACCAGTTCTTTACTCATGTGGCCAGATCTGTGCCATTAAAAAAATTAATAAAGCTTTATTCTCCACATTTACAGCAAACCTAGCTTCAATTTCTAAGTGTCTGAACATTTAATTTATTCTACAAGTCACAGTCACAGTACTCTGAAAAACACTACAAGATACAGAGTTCATAAGTTCAAAAAGACTGAATAAATTTCATCACGAAAAATTGCGTAAAAGATTTTTTTTTTTTTCTTCTATAATAAACTCACTGTGTTTTACAGTTTAAGATTTCTGCCTCTTCTGGAAATCACCTTCTTTTATTATTAGGCCTAAAGCCAGGATATCCACTCTGCTATGGAACTGCATTTTCATCTCCCACAGTTTTTGCTGCTCTTCTACCTTCATTTTCAATAATTCTCCTGTTAGCTTCTGTGAGTTGTTTAATAGTTGCTTTATTAAGCTTTCCAAGTGATTTAATTTTTGCCTCTGGCATCCAATTTTATTGCCAGAGATTGAAGTTGAGTGTCAGTAAGTCTCTGTTTTATCACAGAAGGCTTACACTGTCCTTGTGAAATACTCATCAAAAGCCTGATTGCAAGTTTGTAATATCCCACTGATGACTGACAAGGTTCCTAGAAATGGAATGGACTTTTGGGGGAAGTAATCCGTTACTTTATTTCAGGAAGCTGCAGGATTTCTAAATATTGTTTGGCAAATAATAACGCCATCTTTTTCAAATAAACAGAAGCTGAAATAGCTTCTGCATAGATTTTATACCTTCTTTTTTAATAATTCTGAGAGAGATAAGGAAACATGCCTCTGAGATACCAAAAGCTCACTGTTGGTTTTCAAATCTCACAGTTAAAATTTTCCTCTTCTCATTCTGGAAAAGCGTTTGACTGCTGTCAATCATACACGTGGTATGTTAACTTTATATTCCATCACAGAAACAATGGAGAAGAGTTAACAGTTCTGGCCACCACTGCTCATCTGACTCAGCAAATTTTTCTGGGACCTCCAGTTTCTCTCTCTTTCATACTTAGGATGCAGGAAAGAGGGCTTTTCAGAGCAACAGAGTGGAGGCTGACTGACTGGATGGGCCAATCAAACCCTTCAAAGAAACTCCATAATAGGATTTTGACTGCCCCATGCTCTTTTCATGGATGCTTTCTAACCCAGAATTTCATTTTCTTTAACAATATTTTGTTACTAAAACTTTGTGAAAATCACATACCCAAAAGAGAATTTCTTTATCTCCACTTTTATTCTGTACTCTAAAGTGAAAATGGAAGAATACATTGCTTACCTCTTTTTCAAAATCAGAAGGAAGAAGCTTGACAAAGTTATCTGGAAACACACCTCGTCTGCCATTTAGTTCTCCTTCCCACCATCCCACATCAACGCAATCCTACAAAAGAGTAAAATAACATGAAAACCACAATGTACTTGTGTGCTGAAAAGATCTGTGTGCTGAAGTGCTCTTTTGCATAATGTCCTGCCTTTTTGCTAGAACATGACAATTTGCTGGAGTGCCAGGTTAACAGGATAATCTACCAGATAAGAACCTCAGTAATCACTCTGCATTACAACATCACATAGAGCAGGTAGAAAAGAACAATAAACATGCTGTACGAGCTCAAGAGCTTGTCAGTGTCTAAAGCAAAACACTATTTCATCATTTGATCTATTAAACCAGAAAGCATTTCCAGCACGTATGATAATACTTCTCTCCGACTTCATTTTACAGAATGACAATAACTTAATTAAACATCATAAATCCCAGGAGGTAAAAAAGCTCCTTTATTTCCCACATTTTCCAGAAAAGCTCGACACATTAGAATTATTACATTTCATCACAGTCCAATCAAGAAGGCACTGTACTATTGAACAGTATCAAGAATCACCTTTTTCTGCAGCATTTTTGAGCAGCACAAAGCAGTCTGTGCAGCAAAACAATGCACAGCTAAATGCCTGCAATAAATCAACTAGTTCAGTTGATTTAGTTAGTGAGTCTAAACGATGAAAAAAATAGTACAGGTATTTTGGTCACGAATAATAACAGTGATAGAAGCCACAACCATTTTAGAAAAGTTTGTCATTGTTCCTTAATTCCTGGATGGCAAACTTCATGATCACTGGTTTTGTGTTTGCTAAAGAGAATACTTCTAGTTAAGATTTTCCACATTCTCTGAAAGCTGTAGCTGAACCAATTCAGCTCTATTCCAAAACACATAGGAAAGTCACCCACTGTCTGCTCAGTCATAAAACCCTTTCAGTCAATTTTAGCAGCTGGCTCAGCCCTTGGCTGGCCAACTTTTCTATCCTCTTGAGCAGTAGCCTTAAATCTTCAGGTAGTTCAGAGCCATGCAACAAATATTATATACCTCAGGCATGAGGGAAAAGGAAATCCCACAAACAGGGCATGGGTTTAACATGACAAAAACTCACCAAGGATCCCTCCATTCTATGAGAGCCAGGGCTACACAGGGCTGGGTTTACAGCTTGGACCCTGCGTCATCTGGCAACATCAGCCTTAAGCTATCACTGTGGCACCACTGCTTCCACAGTTACAGAACTGGACTGACCAAGCCACCTGCTCCTGCCAGGTATATCCAGCTGTCCTGGGAGCAGAGTCACACTGTAACTACTCAAGACTTCAACACAGTGGATGTTAATATTCTAACATTTCTAACCCAACCCTCTGGAAACTCTCTCAGATTTAATGAAATACTTCAGTTTTTCAAAATATCACATTTCACCACTGTTCAGAAAAGATAAGTTGAAATTTAGGAGCTGTGTTCTCTGAATACTCAGTGGCACAAACATAGATATGACTGTTCTAGCTTGGGGCATGGTCACTATTCCAGGTCATCCTTCAGTGAGGATTCTCCATCACTCACTGTTGAAGAAACTGAGTGGTTTTTTGCCCTGAAAGGACTTTATATGGGCTATGGAAAAATGCATGATAATATAAAACGCTGGCTCATTACAATCATCCATTTCTTCTCATTTTTCAGTAAAGTGAGAGAGCTAAAAAGCTGTGCATCTGGTATACCAGAATAAAATTACAAGAATATATGCGGGGTATGGATATAATAAAAGTAGCAAGAGTGAGCAAGTAGTTTAGGAAAAAAGCAGAGGCAATGACATACACTAATAGGTTTGCACAGAGAACAAAGCTACGAAAACTGGACAGAGGCAAATTAAATAGGCCAAATATTACAAGTCTCATATATGCTATCAGGCAACATCTCTCTGGAAACAGCACTGGATCAAGAAGTTCAGAATCTTAACATTCTCACTGTGTGAGAAAATAGCTTTAAGAACACCAGGTGGAACTGCATGTCTTAATGCTGTTCATCCACACAACTTGGCTTTGAAGACATAACTGTTTTGCAGTACATATAAAAGCTCCAGGGTTAAAAATGTCACATGCTCAAATCAGTCACTGTTGTAGCCATGTATAGTATCATAGAAACATAGAATGGTTTGGGTTGCAAAGGACCTTAAGATCATCAAGTTTCAGCCCCCCTGCCATGGGCAGGGACACCTCACACTAAACCATGTCATCCAAGGCTCTGTCCAACCTGGCCTTGAACACCGCCAGGGATGGAGCATTCACAACCTCCCTGGGCAACCCATTCCAGTGCCTCAGCACCCTAACAGGAAAGAATTTCTTCTTTATATCCAATCTAAACTTCCCCTGTTTAGGTATGAACCCACTACCCCTTGTCCTATCACTACAGTCCCTAATGAAGAGTCCCTCCCCAGCATCCCTATAGGCCCCCTTCAGATACTGGAAGGCTGCTAGGAGGTCTCCACGCAGCCTTCTCTTCTCCAGGCTGAACAGCCCCAACTTTCTCAGCCTGTCTTCATACGGGAGGTGCTCCAGTTCCCTGATCATCCTCGTGGCCCTCCTCTGGACTTGTTCCAACAGTTCCATGTCCTTTTTATGCTGAGGACACCAGAACTGCACACAATACTCCAGCTGAAGTCTCACAAGAGCAGAGTAGAGGGGCAGGATCACCTCCTTCCACCTGCTGGTCATGCTTCTGCTGCTGTAGCCCAGGAATGGTTGGCTTTCTGGGCTGCAAGCGCACACTGAAGCCGGCTCATGTTCATTTTCTCCTCAACCAACACCCCCAAGTCCTTGTCCACAGGGCTGCTCTGAATCTCTTCTCTGCCCAACCTTTAGCTGTGCCTGGGATTGCTCCGACCCAGGTGCAGGACCTTGCACTTGGCATGGTTAAACTTCATGAGGTTGGCATCAGCCCACCTCACAAGTGTGTCCAGGTCCCTCTGGATGGCATTCCTTCCCTCCAGCGTATCAACCGAACCACACAGCTTGGTGTCATCGGCAAACTTGCTGAGGGCGCACTCAATCCCACTGTCCATGTCAGCGACAAAGATGCTGAACAAGACCAGTCCCAACACTGATCCCTGAGGGACACCACTCGTTACTGGTCTCCAGCCAGACATTGAGCCATTGACCACAACTCTCTGTGAGCAGCCATCCAGCCAGTTCTTTATCCACCGAGTGGTCCATCCATCAAATTGATGTCTCTCCAATTTAGAGACAAGGATGTCGTGTGGGACAGTGTCGAACGCTTTGCACAAGTCCAGGTAGATGACATCAACTCCTCTACCCCTGTCCATCAGTTCTGTAGCCCCATCATAGAAGGCCACCAAATTGGTCAGGCAGGATTTCCCCTTAGTGAAGCCATGCTGGCTGTCACCCAGCACCTTGTTGTTTTTCATGTGCCTTAGCATGCCTTCCAGGAGAATCTGCTCCAAGATTTTGCCAGGCACAGAGGTGAGACTGACTGGTCTGTAGTACCCTGGGTCATCCATTTTCCCCTTCTTGAAAATGGGGGTTTTATTTCCCTTTTTCCAGTCATTGGGAACTTCACCTGACTGCCATGATTTTTCAAATATGATGGCCAGTGGCTTAGCAACTTCATTTGCCAGCTCCTTCAGGACCCGCAGCTGGATTTCATCAGGTCCCATGGGCTTGTGCACATTCAGGTTTTTAAGATGGTCTCAAACCAGATCCTCTCCTACAGTGGGCCCAAGGTCTTCATTCTCACAGTCCCAGCATCTGCCTTCCAAGACTTGGGTAGTGCTGGTCCCTAGCTTCCCAGACAACATCCCTGTATTCTTCCCAGGCCACCTGTCCTTGCTTCCACTTATTATAAGCCTCTTTTTTCATTTGAATTTTCCTCAGCAGCTCCTTATCCATCCAAGGAGGTCTCCTGGCCCTCCTGCTGCACTCCCTTCTAGGTGGGATGCAACAGTCCTGAGCTTGCAGTAGGTGATCCTTGAATATCAACCTATATCATATAATACCAATATAAGGGAACAGAATGTTAAATATTCATTAAAAGACAGATCTGGTTTGGCTTTGTTTTGTTTTTCAAGAGCAGTATCCAAAGTGACTACAGACTTTAAAATACAGCCACTCTGACCTTCATCTCATCATCTGCTAGAATTAGTCATATGCCCTCACAATGCTTACAAAACATCCACATACTACAAAAGTACAGAGAGGAAAAAATAAGAGGAAACAAGTAGTTCTTTGTCAAGAAGAAGCATACAGTAGTTCAAATAGAGTAGAGGATCCACCGAGAAAAATCTGAATGTGAATGGGCAATAAAAGATTGTACAATAATACATGCATTGCAAACCAGCTTTATTGCTATATTTCCATGAAATCATTTGTTTCAGCTGCTACAGGGATGACAGAATAATGCAAGTTAACTTAATGAGGCGTACTTAATATGAAGAGAAATCTTAAAATTATTGTTCACAATGCCTGTTCTTGTTGGCATTCTTCTGTAAGTTATAACGCATGAACATTGGATGATACTTGACAGAAAACAGACTAGCATTAAAAGATCATTGCTTTTATGTTCTGGTTGGGTTTTTATAGTTACTTTTCTATTTTAAGCTTTTTATTTAGCTTATTTAGTCCACCTCATCTCCTGAGATACAGTATGTGCTAACATAATACATGAGCTAAATAGCCTGGTTTCTTGCATCATGTCTGGTTTGGGGGTTTGTTTCCCCCCTCGCCCCTCCACATCTCAAGATTTTACTCTGATATAATCTGTTCCTAATCTACAGATGCAGGCACCGAACAATTCTGCCATTCTTTTTCTGGTTGTTTTCTCTCATGCTCAGTCTGTGCATTTCTCCTGTGTTCTCCTTTCTCTTTAGCAGGATGGCCTTTACCAAGGACACTTACCTTTTCTAGACCTTCCTGGGAGTTATATAGCAGTATTTACCGTTTCTGTTAGACTGTCAGGCCTTTGCTAGTGAACAGGGCTTATTCCTGACTCACAGATGTTTTCAAAATATCCACTAAGTGAACACAGGGCTCCATGAGGGACTGAGATAATCAGCTAGTCA